TGGACGTCGACCTCAACGTGGCGGTCAAGAAGTCGAGGGCGCTCTCCAACCTCCCAGCAGGCCGGCACGCCCTGGCCGCTAGGCTACGCCGTCCCCTCGGCGTGCTCTCCGTCAAGGGCGAGCGCAACTTGGGCATCGACTTCGCCTGCGGCAGGCGCATCGTGCGCAAGGTGCGGCAGGAGAAGCTGGTTCAAGCAGGGCTACGCCAGCGCCGCGTGGCCATCCTGAAGACTGGGGCTGGGCGCAAGAAGGCCGTGCGCAAGGTGGCCCGTGCTGGAATCGAGCCCAGCGTGACCTACGGCGTCGCGGTCACGGGCTGCGCCACCATGGAGCTGGACACGCTGCGCACGGCGACCTTCAAGGCAGTGGCCCCCAGCGTTGACGGTCGCTCGCGCACGCTGACGCTATGCTGACGCCCATGCTGGACCCGATGATCAGGGCCACGCTGCTCCCAGTGCTGATGATGCTGCGCGCGGCGTGGGAGTGCTGGATCCCGCAGCATATCATCGCCTACGGCCTCACTTGCTGCCAGGCGGCGAGCTGGAGCCAGGTCAAGGGCCCCTTCAGCGCGGTGAGGCTCACGCTCGAGAGAGTTGGCTGGCAGGTGCTGAGCCCTACCTTGTGGCGCACGCATGAGGGCTACGACATTCATGTCTTCGAGCTGGGGCCGTGGTCGGTCAAGCGCATTCTCCTGCGAGCAGTTCAAGCGTGGCAATGGCGTGAGGTTAGCAAAGGGCCTGGCCTGGAGCACCTCGCGAGCGGGGGGGTCATCGAGCCCTTGATCACGATGACCTCCTCGGGTGCCGTCAGCCGCAAGGGCGTCTTCGGTCGGCAGCTGGCTGTCATGGAGGCCAAGGATCAAGATCCTGTGAGGAGGGCGGCTGTGCACGCGCGCATGGTGCTGGAGAAGCGGCTGAGGGCCTACACCACCTTCTGGATCCAGGACATCGCCACGCTTGACGAGGATGGTAACAAGGCCCACTGGCTAAGGCTCTGCGTCTCCTACGTGGCCGACCTGCTGGCGCACGGCACGTGGCTGCCGCTAGTCACCGAGACGGCGCGCTCCCTCGACATCGACAACCTCGGCGTGGCCAGGCTGAAGATGGCCCAGGACCTCTGCGAGTCGGCTTGGTCGGCCAGGAAGCGCATCAGAGCCCGCTACCACGCCAACATGATGCGGCTGGCAGTGCAGGACCCTGACGAGTGGGACGTGCAGGCGGCGCGGCACGCGCAGTCCATGATCAGCGCGGAGGAGCAGTTCGACGAGACGCCTGCCAGGCGCGCCGCGGTGGCTGCAGCTGGTGTCGCCGACGCTGCCTCAGTCCCTCCGTTGGCGATGGCGGTCTGCCCAGAGTTGGCGTCAGGACCCGCTGTCCAGCGGTCGACGTTGCCAAGCTTTGCCGAGCTTGGAGTCAGAACCCCCTGGCCAGCGGTCGCGTCGCCACATGCTGAGCTCGAAAGGTCAGGACCCGCTGGCCAGGGGTCTACGTCGCCTGTTTTTGCTGTGCTCGAGAGGTCAGGACCCGCTGGGCAGCGGCCAGCGTCGCCACGCCATGGGCGAGCAACAGTGCAGATGGACCATGGACCGAATCCCATTGTAGGCAAGCAGTCCTCCATCAAGCTCACGCTGAAAGAGCGAGGGTATCTAGCATCCGTTGTCACCGACGGCCAGTGGTGCCAGAGCCGCAAGTACGAGAAGGGCATGGCCTCGGACGACTCGTGCTTGCTGTGCGGCGAGGTGGGCACCCTGCTCCACAGGCACTGTGGCAGCTGCGCGGGTTGGCCGCCAGAGCTGAGGCTGCCCGACAAGATGCGCGAGCTGGCGGCGAGGTCGGACTTGCCCGAAGTGCGCTGCCTGCTGGAGCGCGTGCTGTGGGCGGCGCCGACTGGCATCGTCAAGCCAGCCCCGTCGCCGCACGTCTGCTGGCTGGGCGAGAGCGACGGCTTCTTCCCCTCGGGCGAGCTCTACCTGGACGGCTCGCAGTACGAGGGCGACTTCGAGCAGTACGCGAGCGTCGGCTGGGCCGTCATCGCGCTCGAGGCCGACGCCGACGCCTTCCTGTGCGGGGCGTCGGGGATGCTGTGCGAGCCCCACGTCGACATCAACGGCGGTGAGCTCATGGCGCTCCTGATGGTCCTCAGGTTCGCGGTGCCGCCCGTCACCGTCGTCGTGGACAGCGGCTTCGTGCACCGCGGCCTGCTGGAGCTGGGCCCGAGGCGCACCACCGCGCACGGCGCGGCGTGGGCCCACCTCTGGAGGGAGGTTTGGGCCAAGCTGGAGGACTTCGGCGGCCTGGGCGACGGCGGGCTGAAGGTCAGGAAGGTCCCCGCCCACCAGACGCAGAGGGAGATGGTCGCCCACGGGAAGATCTCGTACCGCGACTGGCTGGGCAACGGCATGGCGGACAAGGCCGCCAAGTCGGCGGCGGCGGCAGGACGGATCCGCCAGCAGGATCGCAGGAGGCTCGTCATGGCCGACAAGCTGGTCGAGGGCGTCGCGCTCTGGGTCTCGGCGGTGGGCGGCGCGCTGGACGGCAGGGACACCACCCACCGCGTGGCGAAGCCGCAGCGCCCCGCGCCGAAGGCGCTGCTGGCGCAGCCGGCCGCCAGGCTATCCTGTGCCTGGCGCGGGGAGCCTGGCAAGCGGTGGTGCAGCCGCTGCCGCTGGGTGGAGCGCTCAGGCGAGTGCCCAGGCACCATCGTGCCAGCGGCGCTCCAGCACAACGCCGTGCTGGCCGCCAGGGGGCTCAGCACGCACGTGCTCGTGCGCATCGAGCCCGAGCGTGACGTCGAGCTGCGCCGCGACATGCCGCTGGTCGCGTGCGCCGCCTGCGGAGCCTTGGGGGCGGCCAGGGCCTCCAGCTTCGCGCCGCCGTGCGGCCGCGCGTCGGCCAAGGGGCTGCTGGCCGTGGCGCGCCTGGAGAGGCGGCTCGCCCCAGCGATCTCGGGCAAGGTCGCGGTGGCCATCAACCCGCTCAGGAGTGAAGGGTGACGGCCAGCTTCCCCTCCTCCTGGCGCGGCGGGCCGACGGCCTGTGTGGCCCGTGAGGCCGTCGCGCTGGCGGCACGCCGAGCCCGAGGGGCCGTGGCGTGCGGGCGCTCGCTGAGAGCGCGAGCCCGTCGCGCGTGGGGCGCGCGGCGAGCGCGGGCGGCGGGTCACACGCGCCGCCTGGGGCTCGTGCATCTTCTTCCTCCTCCTTCTCCTCGGCCTTGTTCCTGGTGGCACGTGAGGATGCGATCGGCATCACCCTCAGTGCCGCGGATCGGGCCTTGGGGCCCACGGGTGGCCATGCTCGCCGAGGCTGCGAGACCAGGGATTCTTCGAGCGCTCGTCCCAGGTGGCGAGGCGCCGAGGTTTAGTTGCTCCTCGCGGAGGGTGCCACTGGGGGGCGCCTCCTGTCGTTGGGATCCGCGTCCCGTGTCCAGAGCTTGGGCCTTCCGTCGAGGCCGGGGCTTCTGGCGAAGACGTCGCGGGCGCCCACGCTGGCAACGGTCTGTTTGGGGCTGGTCTGGGGCTGGGGGCCCCCCGCGCGCACTGATGTTAGTGGCTCGCCTCTTTCGGGTGCGACGCATACTGTTTCCACGACGTCGTCGCCGAATTACGGGCTCCTCCGTGGCCATCGCGTGGTCACGGAGGGCCCTTTCTGTATATTGCTTTGATTGCGGTGGATCAGCATCCACACGCAAATCCCCTGAGTTGCTGGACCAGTGTCAGGGTCCAGTCATTTGGGAGGCCAGCAGAGTTCGTTCCACGGCCCGTCGGGGTCTTCAGGCCCATAGCCACCAGCGTACAAGGAGCCCCCTAAGCGGTGGCTTCAAACGTGGGTGAGGTTGCCACGTTTTCTTCTCTCGTGGCATCGTCGTAGTCTCGGCGAAGTTATTTGCATCGCGTGCCCGCGTTTCCTTTCTCGAGGACAGGATAGAGAGAGGGGCGCTGGGGAGTGACGATATCGCTACTACTACGTTCGCCCCTGCGACGTAGGCTTTCCTTTTTCCCTGCACTTGCCTTCCTTGTCTGAACGCCTGCTGCTGTTGCATGGCGCTTATAACATTACTCGCGCACTGACTCGAGCGAAGAGGGGAAAGAGGAGGGGTTGGGGATGTCTTTGGCTCCTGTTTGGGCCACTCGTTGTTTCCGGATACAGCGAGAGAGGGTGAGGGAGAAAGAGAGAGAGAGAGAGACAGACAGAGATGCACAGGAAACAACAACCATGTAACTAACGGGTCACGCGGTGTCGTGCACAGGTTCGCTCGCCTGCACGCAGCATGCCGCGCCCGCACTATGCGCATATGCTGTCACGCGCTCGACCTGCACGCGGGCGCGCTTGGCGCGCACCTACGCAAGTGCGGAGAGGTGGACGGGCCCTCGGAAGCCCCGTAACCCTTCCCGCGTGCACCCGGGCAGCGCAATAGGGGTTGGAGGACGGCTCAGCTACGCGCACAAGGGGTTAGAAGGAGGGAGGAAGGCCTAAGGGCTCTTAGAAGCACATTGCTTCAAAGGAGCCTTCCCCCCTCCGCCCCTGCCCCCCCTGTTCGCGCCGCCAGCCGGCGAGAGCAGCAGCAGCCAGCAATCATCTTGTGCAGCCTGTGATTGCTGTCCCGTGCCGCGAAGATCTCCCTGCAGGAGCCGCCCGCGAGACCCTTTCGGGGACCCTCCCAGTGGGTCTCCGGGGGGGGCGTGCCGCGCGGAAAAGTACATCGAAGTTCGCCGCCGAGGACTGCTTGTTCTCGGCAGCGAAACTCGCAGGTTCTGCCCACCATGGGGCCACCGCGCCAGCCATCAGACGCAGGACCCCGCCTCTCGCTCGTCCTGCCCTCCCTCCCCGTCACGCTCTCCTCGTCCCCGTGGCACTCTCCGGCATCGTGCGAGAACGTCCGGACACATTCAGGTTCTGTTGGGAAGTTCTCTCCAAGACAGCCAGAACATCCCCCCCCTCGCGGCATCTTCCTCCCACCCCTCCTCACCCTCCCGCAACCTGCGCCCCCCGTGCCGAGAGCCAGGCAAGGTCTACCCCCTGAAGTCGGTCGTCATCGACACCGTCAAGGACTTCATGTCTATGGCGACCACCCAGGATGCACTTTTTCCTCTAGCCCTTCCACATGGCTGCGAAGATGACAGCGTTTCGCGGACTTGTCCGGAAAGTTGCCCTTCTCCAGTGGATCGGCCCAGGAGTGCGAAGATGATCGCGGTTCGTGATTCTGGCAACGCGAAGCGGGAATTTGCGAGACCCAGTTTCTCCCCGGGCCGAGGTTTGTTGCTCGCTGCTGCTGCTGCCGTTCTTTGTCGCCTTCTTCTTCTTCTTCTTCTTCTTCTTCTTATTCTTCTTCTTCTTCTTCTTCTTCTTCTCTCTCTCTCTCACACACACCTCGCTCCTCCTCCCTGAAACTTCCCTGACGTTTCCTTCTACTTCCCCCCTATCTCCCTACTCCTATTCCTCATCCTCCTCTTCCTCCTCCTCATCTTCCTCCTCATCCTCTTCCTCCTCTTCCTCCTCCTCCTCCTCCTCCTCCTCCTCCTCCTCCTCCTCCTCCCCGTAACCATTCTGGATCAGGGTCTTTGCTGTCAGGAAGCTCTGCGCCCCCGTGCCAAGACGGACTGCCCTGGTCAGGGCTTCCTTCGATTGATTTGTTCCCTTGGTGCTCCTGCAGGAGAATCGTTGTCCTGTGAATCTCTTTGGAAACAGACTACATTCAGCGAGCTCCTGGTGGAGAATGGGTGATGAAGATGTGGTGCGCGGGCGAGCTCTCCTTGCGGGGCTGTACACGTCTTTAGGGCTCCCACCCGACTGAGCTTGCAGGCTGCACTGGGCCAAGGCTTTCGGTGGTGATCGCCAAGAGGCACCAGGACAACCAGGTGATGTTCGTCAGCAGGCCAGTGGTCGCCATGCAGGATATGGATGCCTTCATATTGAGCTCTCCTGCCAAGCCCACGACTGCAGCGGTCCCAGCGGTAGTGCTGGTGCTGGCTCGGCCAAGGCTGGCCAGCAGAGGATGTCATGATACTCTTCCGTTCCCCCCATTCCTTGGTGTGTTTTCGTCGTTCCTTCCCTCTTCTGTCCCCTCATCCAGCCGCCGTCTCGGCCCGAGGGGTCTTTGGAGTAGTTGCCAAGTAATTGCGCGCCCCTCCTCGGGACTGCTGCCGTACGCGCTTCCAGGCAGCGCATCTGCCGCCATAGTGCTGCGTCCTGGTCGCCGTGAACACTCAGGGCGGCTTCGAGAGCTGGCCTTGCACAGAAGAGAGAGAGGGCGGATCGTGGACGAGCTAGGGTGCTCGTTCGCCTCGCCGCAGCCCAGCAACTACTCCGACGCCATCACTGCGCCAAGCAGCCAGCACCGCCCCCACGGAAGGGCCGTGCCGTCTTCCAGTCAAGAGGCCTCACAGGTTTCAGGCGGCACTCGTTCAGATGGTTCTTGGTGTTGTTCAGCGCGTGGTGCCTAACAACTGGGCCAATCGCAACCTTCGGTCTATGGGATTTGCAGGCGGCCTCGCCGACATGTATCCTCCGCGAGCTCCTCCGCGACCCTCGGCCCAGGGGATTTACGGGAAGCCTCGCCGACATGGACCAGCTTTCCCTGACCGCCCACTTCCGCGCCGCCATCTACGAAGCATGTCGCCGCAGGGGTCTGCAGGCGGCGCCGAGCGCCCGCGCCCTGCGGGATGGCCGCGCCAGAATTCCTATTCAGGCGTGCTGTCTGGGCCAAGTGGTTTGCGAATGCGGCCGTGCTGCACCTGAAGGCCGCCGCCGCCGCCTACTTCGAGCAGATCGGGTGGGGGGCGACCCGCGTCCAGGCCCGGATTCGTGGCGCCGCGGGCGCGGCGATGGGCGCGAGCGAGCGGGAGCAGCGGTGCAGGGCCCGCTGGCAGCGCACTGGCATGGACATCCTGCGCGAACAGCCGACGTCAGCGGCCCAGCGCTTCTGGAGGCGTCGCCTGGAACGGTGGACGTTGCGCATTTACCCGCGCGTCCGCGCATCGCGGGCACAGGGGGTCCTCGCGACGCTGCGGAATGCGGCCGCTCCCTGTGTCCGCGCCGCGTTATTGCGGACGCGGTTCAATGGGTGTCGCACTCGCGGTCGATTTCAGCAACACTACCGGTGCATCTTCGGGTGCAGGCTGGAGAATTTGATCGAGCACTAGGCGCATTGCCTGGTCGTGCGCATTCTCGCGTGGCGCCGACTCGCCATTCCCACCGCGGGGGACAGCCTCGGCGCTTTCCTGCTGCTCGACCAGCCGCTGGTCAACGTGACCGCGGACCACTACCTTGTCCGCGGTGCGCACGGCGGCGGCGTGCTGAGCGCACTGCCAGGCGCGACGCTCCGTGCAGGCCGGCCCGCTGACGGCCGACTCGCTCCACCGCGCAAACTTGGAGCTTGCCCGGGCACGCCGCTGCGGGCGCGCTGGCGCGGGAGTTTGCGGGCGAACGCCGCGCGCTCCGCCACGCCGCGCCGCCATTGCATCTGCGCCAACCCATATCGGGGGAATGCAAGACCTGAGTAAGCCGGAACTCGGGTTTGCCGATTTTTTTTTGACGAGCGCGTCCTCGATTTTGACGGTCCAGTTTTCGTGGGATGTCTGCAGCGGGAGCTCGCGTCAAATTTCAGATTGGGCCTCGTCATTTTCATGATGGCCCCGCCGGGCCAACCCGAGTCCCGCGTACCCGAGTCTTACGTCTCCCCGACCATACCGCCGCTGACGAGGGCCTGGCGCCTGGCACCTCGCTGCCAGCGTAACGGTCTAGACGGCCTGCGCGCGTTAGCATTTTTATCTTTCAGTTGCAGGTGCAGCAGTAGTGGATGGCAGCACGAGCGCGATACAATTTTGCTCCAACCTCGTATCAATCAGGCTCTGTGTTGTCACAGCTTCCGCCTTCCCGCCCTCGCGTCTCGAGGGGGGCGCGCGATTTTGCCGCCTCCTTGTGCCTCCATGGAGTCAAAACTGCGCAGTCGGCTGGAAATTCGGGCAGTTAATCACGCGCAGCAGAATCCGTTGAGTGGACGAGATAGCTTGCACTGGATTCCTGGGCTCCCTCCCCTCTCCCTTCGCCCCTCGTTCTCCCCCTCTTCCCCCTCCCTCTTCCTCTCTGGCAGCGATCGTACCCAGCCGCTTCCGTTACGACAGGCAGCGCGCGCTGAACTGTGCCGCGCCGAACTGGCACGATTTGCACCGTGTTTCGGACCGGCGCGCCAGGATTCAGCACTGTATGCCGCCACACATTTGGGTTGTGCCGCGGCGCATGCTTTTGCGACCCCAGCGCCGCGGCCGCGGCCGCGTGGCCGATGGACTTCGGGGCACGCCGCGCCCAACAGTCGTTTAGAGTGCCCACCCCTCGTCTCGTTCCTCCCCCTCTCGCCTCCGGAGGCGGTGCGCCGGCTAACCTTGCTGGGGTGGGCTGGTTCTCCGCCTCCTTTGTCTGTCTCGTCCTCGCTCCTCCCCGAGGCAACTCCACGGCTGGGCAAGCGCGCGCAGCTCGTTGGACGGCCTGTGTTGCTTGTTCGTCTAGTAATTTTCTTTCCTCTGCTCTCCATGCCGTTGCCGCCGCTGTCGCTTCTCTTGTCTCCGTCACTGCGACTGTTCGCTGAAATCGTTCTGGCGGGAGCCGCGCTCGCGAGGGATTTCCAAGTTTTGGAGATGACCAAGTCTCGCTTCTTGCGGACTGGTCTCTTGGAGTGGCAGCTGGCGCCATCGAGTTTTGAACGCAGTAATGCGGCAGACAGCAGGTCAATTTTGGGCGTGCCGGCATATCTTCCCCGCTGCAGCCGACTCTTCCTCCTCCTCCTCCTGCCCTTCTCCTCCTCCCTCTCCTCACTTTCCTCTTGCACGGAGCATGGGCGGGCAAAAGTTGCCATTCGAAGTGCGGCCAGATGTTTATTTTTACGGTCGCCTGCAAATTTGTTCTGAATGCCATTTCGCACATTCCGCCCCTCCTCGGCCCCCCCTTTGCGTTCGTGCATGCGCGTCTTCCAGCGGCGGGCCGTGGGGGACCACTTTGGGAGAATTGTTTGGCGCTTCGCGCAAGGGTTGGCAGCCCAGACCCCGTTATGCCGTGTTTCGTACTGTAGATTCTCTCTCGAAGCCGGAAAAAGCAATTGGGTCAATTGGAAGACGCGTTCATGGTGTCTGCCCCCGCAGGAGTCTTCAGGGACAGCTCCCAGGCAGAGGCCCAGATTCAAGTCAGCCGCCAGGTCCTGGTCCCATCGCCCAGACGGAGAAGGCCTGGAACAGCAACCAGCCCCCCAGAGATTGCCAAACCGATTCAGGTGAGCATCCCACCCGCGTCCGCGGAAGAGGCCTTGGCTCATCCAAGTTGGGTGTATCCGGCCACAGAGGGCGAATATTTTAGGGGTCATCGCGTTACGCTGAAGGCGCCGTTGACAGACCTGGAGCAGCAGATTTTGAGCCAGCGCAAGTTGGTTGGGCACGCAGCCCGCCAGACTGCAGGGCTTGCGAGAAGGAGGACGCCACAGCTTTGCGCATGCACATGTCAGCGCAGCCTCCTAGGGATCGTGCTACATCATCATATGGGGCCATTGGTCATCCAGCATGTGCAAAATAATCAGGTCTGTTTGCCAGGCCAGATCACGCCCTTAGCGGCGCAGTCTGCAGGTTTGCATTCGACGTTGCAGCAAGTGGCAGATGGTCTCAAGGCAACGCAGCAGGGCTCTCCGCCCTCAGCAGCTCAGTGCCTCAAGGACACATGGGTCAGCAGCAGCAGCCAGCGCGTCAGCGGCAGCATGGGCGAGCCATGAGGCAGCGACCCCGACGGACTGCCGCCGCTTTCCGCGAAGGAAGTTGCAGCAGGCGCAGCCTTGGGTATCTTCAGCAGCCAGACTGCAGAGTTGATGAGCAGCCAGGCCCAGGATTCCCTGGCCGTCGCCAAGCAGTGCCAGAAGCCACCCACAAAGAAAGCAGACGGCGCGCCAGCTCGCAAGTCGATGATGCTTCCGCATGCGGATTCTGGAGTTGCAGATGCCGCATCGTCACAGCTCGGCTCAGCAGAGCTAGCTTTCGAGGACCCGAAGGCGCAGACGTCGAGGATGGGATCGTCGATCAGTAACCACGCGGGCATGCAAGATCCTATCCCCTCGGGGTGCGAATCGCCAGACGAACCCCTGGGAGATAATGCTTTTGTTCGGGGGTGCGTTTCCCCACCTCCTCACGCGCCCAAATCATCTAGACGGCTCCCCAGACACCGCGCGCGCGCGTGCGCCTGCGCATGCGTGGTGGGTGGGAGGCTTTGGACTAGGACCTGCTGGGCCTGGCGCCGGCGCCCGCCTGCAGCGCCGCCACCGGTGTGCACTTTGCAGGTCTGAGGCCCGAGGTCCGAAGGACGCGGAGCGGAGGGAGGGAGGCCCCACAGGGCGGCCGCCGCCGCGGCGCCGCTGCCATCTGAGCTCGAACAGGCCGCCGGTCCGGCCGGCGGAGCCTCGCGTAGCGGGCAGGGAAGGCTCGGACTCTGCGCGTTCTCTCAGATCTGACGTTGCGACAAAAATGCGACGTCGCGAAATATCGCTCAGTGGCCCTGTGCCCCCGATAGCAATCCCCCGGGAATAATAAAGTTCGGGGTTCCCGGGTGATATTGTCCCGGCAACTCGGACGTACGGGTGTACGGTGTACGGTTGCACGGTGTAGTTGGTACGTAGTAGTAGTAGTAGTAGTAGTAGTAGTAGTAGTAGTAGTAGTAGTAGTAGTAGTAGTAGTAGTAGTAGTAGTAGTAGTAGTAGTAGTAGTAGTAGTAGTAGTAGTAGTAGTAGTAGTAGTAGTAGTAGTAGTAGTAGTAGTAGTAGTAGTCGTGCTAGTAGTAGTAGTAGTAGTAGTAGTAGTAGTAGTAGTAGTAGTAGTAGTAGTATCAGGAGTAGGAGTAGTAGTAGTAGTAGTAGTAGTAGTAGTAGTAGTAGCAGTAGTAGTAGTAGTAGTAGTAGTAGTAGTAGTAGTACTAGTACGAGTACTAGCATTAGTAGTGCTACTAGTAGTCGTAGTCGTAGTCGTAGTCGTAGTCGTAGAAGTAGTGTTCGTCGTCGTCATCGTCGCAGCCGTCTTTTGGACGTGGTCGTGGTCGTAGTCGTAGTCGCCACATAGAGTGCACCACGTAGACTGCGCCACGTAGAGTCCACCATGCAGAGTCACCCATGATACCAATATACCAGCTACGATTGGTACTTGGTCCGGTGATAGTCAAGTTCGGCCTCGCCGCCCCCGCCCGCACACCAAACATGAGTTGTCCGGGGAGAATCATGATACAGGGGGTTAAGGGGGGGTATCCTTTATGATTCGTGGGATGCGGTTATCGTTTGACCGACCCCAATCCCCATCCCCATCCCCATCCAGACCCCCGCCATCTCACCCCCCCAGTTGGGATGTATCTTTCGAAGCCCGAAAGCAACAGCCTATATCTCCATCTGGGGGGGTAAAACGGCCAGTGGGGTCCAGGCCACGCCCATGGGGGATATGGGGTTGGTTAGACAATGCTCAATCACGACCCCAACCAGACCTGCTCGCGTCATGAAGCCATCACGGTGGGAGGTTTTTGGCCCTTGGGGGCCCTTACCCTACCCCAGTAACCGTCCAAAAACGGCTTGGGATGAAAAGCTGGTCCCCGTGAAGGGTGAAGGGGTCGAGATTCCCGGGGACCCCGCATGGAAAAAGCTCAAGGCCCCATAGACCCCATCTTTCTGTGGCGCTCTGCCAGCCGGGCCCATCTGCTCCGGGCCCTGGGGCCCGAGGCAGGGCGAAGAATTCGCCCGGTGTGGAAAGTTGCGGCGCGCGCCAGGATCTCAAGTCAGCGGCGCCCGGCACCCGCAACGGGTACTCATTAACGGGTAGTTTGGACAATGTCCGAAAGTTGCCTTTTTAGAGCCTCTTTCTGGCATTGCAGCGTTGCCCACATCGGGGAGTCGGAGGATTGGGTTCGCCGAGGCACTGGCCAGAGTGCCCGTTCGTGGAGTCCCCGTGAGAGCAACGCCAGGATCTCCGGGCTCTGCAGCCCCTGCGGAGGCATGTGCAAGGATGCCCTCGTCCTGGCCCGCCGGCTCACCGCGCGCGCGGGCCTCGCGGTTGGCCTGCTGGGCGATGGGGCCGGGCACCCCGCCCAGGCCGCACGGGCTTGAAGCATACGCCTAAATCTCTGTGAACGGACACTGGAGCATATATACATCACCAGTGGCGGGCTGTTGTTCAATGTTCAATCCCAGGACTTCTTGAGGGTCGGGGACGACGTCGGGGTGGTGCGGTGTCTACCTTATTCAACGTCTTTTCTCGGGGAAGCAGCGAAAAATGTGTACACCAGGATCCCGTGTACACCAGGATCCACTTTCCTGAGCGAGTTTCAGTGCGGGGCCGTAAAACATGTCGGTGTATAGAGCTTGGCTCCTTGTATGATTGGCGTCGCCATATCTCTGTGCCGATCTTCAGGATTTAAAAAAACGCCATAAACATAAGCTCTTGGCGCTTCGCGCGGCTCTTGGATCCGCGCTGGGCCCCCCGGCGGCACCTCCGACGTTGCCCCTGGCGCGCCCTGCGCGCCAGGGAGGGAGTTCTAGCCCAGACCCAAGAAATCCGTGCGGACCTTCAAAAATTCCTGTTTATGCGGTTCTTTCCTCCTCTGAAGATTGTCATCGCCTTTGACTGGCCAGTCCTAGGGATGTGGGCGAAGTGATCCCCGGAATCTAACGGCCGTCGGCCCATCCAGCCACCGTGCCTGTTTTGTGGGCGTGAAGCCTTTTTGGATGGTCGTAGGGATCTCGTGGGGGGCTTCTCGGGGGCTTCTTTGGAGGCAGTTTGGATGTCTCTTGGGGGCCGTTTGTGGGCCTCTGCAGGGCCTTCTTGGGGCCTCCTGGGAGCCTCCTGGAGCTTCTTGGGGGCCTCTTGGGGGCCTCTTGGTGCCTCCTGGGCGCTTCCTTTGTGCCTCCTGGAAGCCTCTTTGGGCGGAAGGCTTGAATTGTCGGTTCGTGTTCCCTCTTTTGGGCAACTGTGTTGGGCAGTCTTAGGGCTGTCTTGGGCCGTTTTGGGCGCCTCTTGGGCTGTCTTGGGACGGTCTTGGGGGCCTCTAGATTCGTCTGGGAGCGTCGGGAAGCCGAGAACGCCAAAATCGCTCAAAAACCGAAAGAGATCTACGAGTTTGGCCATCTTGAGGCCATTGACAGCGTCTTTGGGCGATGTTTCGGCGAGTCGGAGCCCTCTTCGACCGTTCTGAGCGGTCACAGCGTCCCGTGGACCCGCAGGAAGCACCCCAGAATTCACGGGAGCCAGCCCAGGAAACCCCGGTACGGCCCAGGACGGCCCAAGACGGTTTGGGAAACGGCTGGTCTGGGCCCTTCTAGACGTTCAGATTTGGCTGCAGCAGCGCAGCCTCCACTTCTCAGTGCTGCATGAGCCTTGGGGCACTCAACTTCGTGCCAGAGCTGGGGGCATGGGCGATGCTATCCCCGGAAAGATATAAAAAGGGCAGGACGCCCCCGTCCTCTCTCTAGGGGTGGGAACAGCGCTCCCGGCGGCGAGAGATGTTATTTTGCTTCCCCGACGGCTGCGGCGGCTACGGAGCTTCGGCGTTTCAGCTGTTGCGCTGCCTGCGATGCTTCGCGTGGTGTCGAGAGACGCGGCTGCGGCGATCCTGGGCTGCTCAAGCATGTACTGTGCTTGGCCCCGTTTTTTTTACAAAGCACCTCGCAGTTGCGGATAAGAGTGAGGAGGCGAACGCGGGGTGGGTCGTGGGGTGGGTCGTGGTGTGGGTCGCGGGTGGTTCACAGGCGGGTCGCGGGCGAGGGTGACAACAATACCAATCATTTCCATATTGTTACCCACTCAGTGCTTGCACTGAAGGGGTCCTAGCCTAAATTCACCAATCAGTGCTTGCACTGAAGGTGTCTTAGCAGACATTTCAAGATTCGGCGAAAGTGTCCCGCCGATTTTGTGGCCGGCTGGGTTCCCCGGTTCCGGGTTCCGGGGTTTTTGGTCATTGGTTTTAAGTCGGGCATGTCCTTGTACAGGATGAATATCGAGAAATTGTGGGAGAATCTGTTTGTGGCGATTTTTCATGTTCTGTTCAAAATGCGCCGAAAATGGTATGGAAATAGTTGTTTTGATATTGCGTCGGCGAACGTGTGATGCACCCAATTGGAAACCACGATGCGCCGCGCGGGGCCACCATCATTTGTTTCGCCGCATTTGGTCGCGACAGCGCGCGCTACCGCGTCTTAGCAAAGGCGCGCGTCTATGGCGATGTGGTTATTACAACGTGCGCAGTGAGGGTCGACTGCGCGCTACTATCGTGGACTGGGTGGCGCGTCGCTGCGATGAGATTTGCGCGCGGCGCGAGCAATCCGACGAACACCCGTTGGGCAGCCGACAGTGGCCTGCAGATTTTGATCCCTGCTTCTTTTTCCATCTTGTTACGCGCGTCCACAAAATCCGCCCGATCAGTCTTTGTGGCCGCTGGCATTCAACTTGTCGCTGCAAAACCCCACTCTTCCCCCCTCTTTCCCCCTCGCTCCTGCGCGCCATCCTTGCGCATCCTCCCCACCCTATTCCCTCTCAGTAAGGGTGGCGCGCATAGACCGGCGTTTCCCACGTTCGGCGTTTGGGTTTCTTTATGCAAGCACGCGGAGTATATTGCGCGAGGGACAACCCTGACCAGACAAGGCACAAATCCGTCGATGCCATCATCGAGTAGATATGAGTGGGGTAGGAGTTGAAATGGAGCACGGTAGGGGTGGACTGGAGGTTGTCCGTGAGTCAGGTTGATTGAAATTGGGCGCAGGATCAGGTTAGAGCCGGTTCCAAATAGGGCAAACTTGGATTTGGCATAGACGCGTCGTATAGACAATCACCAGTTTTTTAAACAAAAAAGAACAGGATGCTTGCATGTGCCGTTGTAGTGGGGTAGAGTAGATAAGGGTGCAATTCGGCGCGTGTTGTGGCAAAGTGCGACTAGGGCTACACGTGCACCTTTGCATTTACGCTCGCAAGCGCAGGAACATTTATATTTATCCATTGGGCCAGTAAGGTGGTCGCACGGATCGCGCAGAGCCGAGTTTAGGGCGCATTCACCCAGGGCAGAGCAATACGCCCACTTGCATACGCGCGCACGTCTACGTACATATACACAACGGCACAGATCGGCGGGCCCAGTGCGCACGCTGCAAAGCAGGACCGGGAGCCTTCGGCGCGACCCAATCATCGCCGGCGCCGTCGGGGCATCCAGACCGCAGGCAGGTGTCGTCGCCAGCGCAGCAGCAGCGCTTCGGATACCCCGAGCGAGTGTCCGACGTGCCCCGAGAGTAAACCAAATATTCCAGCGCAGGATGTTGCGCGCTCCCCGACCACCCAAAATCTTCCATTGGAGGATTGCAAGCACGACGCGCGCGCAACAGACTCCGACACGGCATCCCGCAGATTTCGCATGCTTACTGAATACCCCCCGTAGGTATCAAATATTTTTCAATATTTCGAAAAAAATACCCCGCAGATTTGACGCGCTAAAGGAATTGTCCAAGCAATTCCAAACTTGCCCCAAAATGCTCCGAATTGACTCCAGCGCCGCTTGCGAAATTTCAAAGATATTCCAAAGATGCTCCAGTGCCATCTGCGAAATTTCAAAATACTCCAATGACTTTCCAGTGCCATCTGCGAACTTTCAGAACACTTCAAGGATATGCCAGTGCAGTTCGCGATCTGAAATATTCCAAAGTACGCTAGTGAAATTCGCGAATTTGGGGAATGGTCCAAAGATATGCCCCTGCCATTTGCGAAATTTCAAACTGCTCGAGATATGCCCCCGCGGCGACCTCTGCGATTTCAAGATACCGCAGGAGACGCTCGCCTACTGTTCGCGAGACAGCAAAGCACCCCAGGACGCAGCGCGTTACCATCTTCGACAGACAGCTCTAAGTCTTCCAGAAGATGCCCCCGCGTGTTTTCCGGATGGCCCCGTGTCCTTTCTTCGAGAACGCGAAAATCTAGTAACAGCGCCCCCCTTGCCCCCCTTCGCCCGAAATCGCGCCGCAGCGGCACGTTATGCAGTGGGTTCGCTAGCGGTCTCGATGCCCTGCCTCAGGCTTGCCAAACGCGCGACGCGCGTTGCTCGTGGGCTGAACAGCGTGCCGCTATGTTGCCGAGCGCATGTCGTTCCGCGCCACAGAAGCGTTGCGGTCTCATTCTGCGCGCCCGATCCCGCTGGGGGACTGGCTCTCACCACGCGCGCGCATCAAGCATGCGATGCGTCCTACGCGCGTTGCGCAGCTTTCAGTCAGAGAAAGGCCCAGACTTTTGCATCCATTTTTGGAGCCAGTTTCCCCGTGCACCCGCCATGGATTTTATTGGTAAGCATTTGCAAAGTTGGCCGGGGGGGGGGGGAAACGTGGGGAAGGGGGACTGGTCGATTGGTTGATCGGAGGATTGATCGGTCGACCGATCGATGCAAAGGACGAGCGTGCGGCGTTCCGCCAGCCTCCGCGGACCTTTGTTTCTCTTTTGCGGCGCTTCTCGTTTGCCATCTGCACTCGTTGCGATCAGCGGCTGCCCGTGGATTGTCTACACGTTTGGATTGGTTGTTTGCTGGTGGTCCCCGTCGCGCGCCCTCAGGGCGCATGCTGCATCTGTCGCTTGTCCTCGAGGTGAGCACAGTGGCAGTGAACCGCGTGGAGCCAGCTGAGTGCCCGGCGGGGGTCGGTTCGCTTTCGGGCGAACGCAAAGCCACTGAATGTGTATCGAGTTTTTCACGTAGCGACATATATGCGCGACCATAGTTTACGCGGCGTTGAAATGGCGCTCCCCTTGTTTGGTGCGAAGGGCGCTGTGAATTTTACGCGCGCCGACACACGCAAAGGAAAATTGCGAAAACAAGGCAATCCTCCAGCAGGGACGTTCGTTTTTTCTTCTAAAGTATTGTTGGAACGTTCCCCAAATACTTTCAGTAAACGTGCTCGTATAATTCACGAGAAAATATGTTTTGACGAGTTTAACATTTCTTTCAAAAAACCGCCTGTCGGAGGACATGCCCGACATGACATTGGCTCCGGGCCGATTTCGGTGGGTTCCGGTTTCCCGGTTGATCCCATTATCGATCTCCCCATTGATTTTTTCATCTCGCTCAATCGATCTCACCATCGATTTCACCCAACCATCCTGTGATTTGGTTTCCGCTGGTGTACATGTCCCTTTTATCCACTCGCGTGTCATTCAACATGTATGCTCCAAGCTCTTCATACCCGCCTATTTTGTCTTCGATCGTACCCCCGTTGGGGGCATATCTTCTTTACCTGCCACGCATAGTTGGAGAAGCCCCACAACAGGCAGAGCGATAGGGAAAGAGACGGAGGTTAAGGACAACAAGCGGCGAACTGAGACGGCCGTATCGGGCGGGCGGGGCGGGCGGACCTTGACGGGCGCTTCGGGTGGCGGACCCCAGCGGGCGGTCGGGCGGGCAGGGCGGGCGGACCTTTACGGGCGGGTCTGGCGGGTGCGGCATAACATCGGGCGGGCGATTTTTTTCCCAGCAGGCGAAATGGTGGTGCCTAACGGGCTGGCGCGCCCCCTAAAACGCGATTCTTGCACAAACTGCGGAGCGGAAGTCTCAGGTGAGAGCACGATTCGATTCGTAAATAAAGAATGCGAAGTCCCCAGCGAGAGCGCGATTGTTGCGTGTCGCGAGCGCGGCGCAGGGAAATCTCAGGCGAGAGCGCGATTCCTTGGCAAATCGTGGGGAAGTCTCGAGCGGGAGCGGGGCTCCTGAATAACTTGCTAAGAAGTTTGCAGGCGGGAGCCGCTGTTGTTGAACATTGGGGGCCACCAGCAGAGTCTGCGATTCACTGCTTTCATTTTTATATTAAAAAAACGGGTGCGAGCTTAGGGACGGGCACCTTAATTGAAGAGTACAAAATGCACGGTTGGGGGGTAAACAATAAGAAGCCGTTGGGAGCACGAGATTCAACGTGAATCGTTTTGCATTGTCCGTTATTGTACGTTTGCGTACCATGTGTCTCACATTCTTTTGATACTCGCCCTCTTCGTCTTTGATCGTCCCCCTTGTTGGGTATGGAATCCTTCCCTGTCATGTGTAGTGAACGCGGCCCTGGCAGAACAGAAATTCTGGCAACGGGCGAGAGCGAGGAGGCAGGGAGTGGAGGAATGGAGGCGGAGGGAAGGAGACAAGAAGCAGGGAGGGAGGAGGTGGAGGACGAGAGGGATTAGCAAGAGGGGGATTCGCAAGAGGGGATGGCAAGGATGTCCCAGGCGAGAGCGCGGACCTTGATTAACTTATGACGAAGCCCGGAGCGAGGGCAGTATTCTAGAGCGCCGAGAGAGCGATTCTTGAAGAATTTGCAAGGAAGTTTCAGGCGACAGTGCGATGTCTGGACACATTGCGGGGACGTTTCAAGCGAACGCCCAATGTTTCAAAACCGATGATTTACTCAACAACCGCCCTCTCGCCAGAGACGTCCTTGCTATCCCCTCTTGGGAACCCCTCTCTCCAATCCCTCTTTTCCTTCGTCTTCTCCCGCCCCCTCTTGCCCTCGCGGTTCATGCATGACTGACGCTTCAGCGACCCGCCCGCTCGACCCAGGGCCCGACGGCCCGACCCGCCCGTTATTGTGTCCGCCCGCGCACTACCGACCCGCCCACCTGGTGTTGCCGCTCGTTGTCCTGATCCTACCCCCTTCCTGCTGATCTCTCTTGTGCTCCATCCTTCTCTTTTTCCCCCCTGTCCCCTCCGTCCTCCCCCCGTCTCTGTCCTAGGAGCTACGCCAACTACACGTGGCAGGTGAGGAAGATATATCTACACGTGGCAGGTGAGGAAGATATACCCTCAAAGGGGAGTACGATCGAAGACGAGGAGGGCTGGTACCAAGGGTTTGAGATACACATGGTGAATGGCACGCAGGCGCATAAGAGCGAACTGTGTTAACACGAGTGTTTTTGTTGTTGTTGTTGCTGCTGGTGTTGTTGGTGTTGTTGCTGTTGTTGTGGTCGTCGTTGCGTTTGCTGTTGCGGTTGTTGTTTGTATTGTTGTCGTTGTTGTTTTTATATGTTGTTGGTGGTGTTGTTGGTGGTGTAGTTAGTGGTGGTGATGTCGGTGTTGCAACTGTTGTTGTTGGTGGTGTTGGTGTTGTTGTTGTGGTTGTTGTTGTGGTTGTTGTTGTCGCTGTTTGTGTTGCTGCTGCAGTTACTGTTGCTGCTGCTGTTGTTGCTGCTGTTGTTGCAAGCTGGGGGCCAATTGTACAGTCTGACGCGCAATATCTTCTGGTGGACAAGACCTGGTGCGAGCCCGGGAGGGACATCTCAAGTGCAAATAACACAATGGGCACCGCGCGGGAGATCAGCAATACATTTTATTCTTCAGAAGTGAGAGTTCGGCAAGCAGGATCGGCGCCGCGGAATCCCACTTTATCCACGCACCCAGAGATGATGTAAGACCGCTCGGCCCCCTCACTCTGATACGTTTCTGGTTAGCGTGTCGCTCCGCCGGCTCTGGCCCACCACGCCTCGACGCGACACGCCATCCACGTCCCCATTTGAAAGCGCCAATGTCCCGAGCCTTTCCGAGCCTCCCGCCCCGCGGAGTGGATCGACACGCTATCCGATTGCAGGGCATAGTGTGTCGCCGGGGCCGCCGCCGCGACACGCGAAACAAAAGTTCCCGACCGTAATCCTGGGACCCACATAAGCTCGAGATTGGTTACAGTCGAAACCGATGGTAAGGATGAGTAACCTTCCAAAGGGTACCTTTGCATCCGTGCCTCTTTGGTCCATTCTTTACGTTCGATGGCCTGCCGCGCTCGAGAAACCTGGCATCGCTCGGACGTGTGCATTTTCCTCGGCGAGGGCCATCGAGGAGCACCCTGGATCATCTGGCGAAAGGTAACGCACGAAACCGAACTATGCACGGTGAATGGACGTCCGAGCGATAGCGAGAAACGCTTCCACACAGACGTCCCAAGGGACCTGCCCTTTCATCGCGCATCTTTGGGCGATCTTGTGGCGATCTGTGGGGGCTCATGGCCGTCTCGGGCCGTCGGAAGGCCGAACAGAAACCGATACCAGAATCCCTCAAGCACCCCAGGGAAATCAACGATGTTGGCCGCTTCGGGCCTTCCTGGAGGTCCTCTCAGAGGCCTCTTTGGCGGTCTTGGAGGCCTCCTGGGGGCCTCCTGGGGCCCTCCTGCGATCTATGGCTGTAAGGTCTCGCGGTGCGGGCGGCGGTCGCGGCTCCTGTGGGTGGCGCTCGCGGGCTCGGGCCTGGCCGCGCTGCTGTGGGCCGGCGAGCGCAGGAGGGCGGCCGCGGCGCCCCCGAGCGTGACGGGGCGGCGGCGGTCGCTGGCCGCGGTGGACCTTTGAGGAGGAGAAGGGGGGTACCGACCCCCCGGGCCCCTCGGGCAACGACAAAAAGCACAGCGGGAGGTCGTTTCGTATTCTCGGCATCTGGAGGCCCTCGCCAGCCTTCGGGACCGTGAGAGAGCGGCTCAGGATGAAATGCGGGTCTAGGGAAATGGGTCGAGACCTCTGAGGGTCGGCGTTGTGGCAAAATCATAACGTCGGGGATGCCGACCCAGACATTCACCGCTCACCAAACCACCCCAACCCAGCCCGAAGGCCCCAGTTTGCCCTCCAGTCCCAGTGGGGGGGCGTCGGGGAACATTGAAACACAACATGTGTGGAACGCGTACCCCCCCTTGGGGTTGGGTTGGGGTGGTCTGGTAGTTAGTCCGACATGTTCGCGTCGTGCAGTGGAGACGCGCAGCAAGAAGCCAGAGGCTTTCCGTCAGGGTACCCAGGGCTTCCTCGCTCCGCGAGCTGCGCGGTGACTCCCCGCGGCCGTTGAAGATGTTGCTGCGTTCAGGGTGCGCTGGGTTACCCCCAGGGTGCATCTCGCGCGCGGGTTTTCAGGGCTGGGCTTCTTGCGAGGGTTTCTTGCGGCCGCGGCTGCATCGTAAAACAACATTCAGGACAGAGGCTTTCGTCGTTGTTCGGTCTCTGGGGGCCCTTGCCCCGCCCCGGGACTGCCAACAACAACGACTCGGGATGCAACGCGGGTCCGGGAAAGGGGGTCGGGATTTCCGGGGACCGCGCATGGAACAATAGTTGGACATCGCATGTCTGGGGATGCGTGGCCCGCCCCCCCTTAATCAGTGACCCCACGTCTTAACACGCGCGCCGCCGGGCGCGCGCGGGCGGCAGTGCCGCGCAAGTTTTTTGAGCAGGAGTGCACAGCACTGGGCATTCACGCGCACCCCTTTCACGGGTCCTGCATCGAAGGAGGCCCCGGCTTCCTGCTCAGTGCTCTCAAGGAGCGAGCGGGAAGCGGCGGCACAGGGCTTTTGAGTCGCCTGGATGTTGTTCTTGTGCCGCAGTCCAGTTTCCTCGACGCCGCATGTTCTGAGGATGCACCGCCACCCCGGACCATCGACGCTCGATCCGTGCCCCTGCCGCTGCCACCCACTCTGCACGCCAGGGGAAGCAGGGCACGGATAACAAACACGTGGCCACGCAGGCCAGACGTGTCAATGCCTCCGCTCTGGCCCCTCGCGGGGTCGGGACGTGGGCAGGGGATGGATACGATGTTGATGGGGCGGACCTCAGAGGAAGACGAGGTACCGACCCTAAATCCTGTCGTCGCATTGCTTCACAACGGGCGATTTCGCCCCATGTCGGGCCCCGGGACCTCTGCTGGTCGATGCGAATCGAGGAATGCAGCAGAATGATAAGGTCTGCGGCTCCGGTCGTGTTTTTTTGTGCACGCTGATGCAATGCTGTCGCGCTGCCAGATCTGAGGGGATACCGCTTCCCTTGCCTCGTGTTCGCCTTTTTAGGGCCTCCTTGGAGGCCCTCGTCGCCACAGCTGGGTTCGCCTCGAAGTCCTGGCCAGGACGCGCCACGGGAGAGGTCCGAGGAGCAGCGCTGCCGGTACGTCTTGCTTCCCCCCAGGTCGGGGCCCAAGAGACGGGGGTCAACGCTAGCGAGGGTCAGTCAGTGCGCTGGAGCTTGCAGGATCCTGCAGGGCCAGGGGCGCACTGACCCGGGCTTGGGCGCAGGATCTGGCAGGATTTTGCAGGATCTTGCACGCCCTGACTGACCTGGATTTGGATTGACTCAGGTCAGTAGATCCCCGACCAGGACCCGCTGGCGGTGTGCGTGGACGGCAGCCCCTCCGCGTACTACTGGAGGGAGGGCGACCCTGGCAGCAGCACGTGGATCGTCGACCTCCAGGGCGGGGGCTGGTGCTACGGCGAGGCGTCGTGCAGGCAGCGGTGCGCGCCCGGCACCACGAGCAGCCTCTGCTCCTCCAGGGCCTGGCCGGAGGAGCGCGAGCTGGGCCCCGGGCTGCTGAATCCTGCGTTGCACAGCGCGCTCTCCGGGGCCCACAGGGCCTGGGTGCCGTACTGCACCTCCGACGCCCACATGGGCGACGCGGTTGCGTTCGGCATGCAGTTCCGCGGCGCGCGCGTGCTGCAGGCGGTGCTGGCAGACCTGGTGCAGCTCGGCCTCGGCAGCGAGTCTGGCCGCCCGCTGGTGATCCTCGGCGGCCAGTCCGCTGGGGGCCGAGGGGCCATGGTCAGCCTCGAGTACGTCCGCGACATGCTGGGCCCCGAGCTGGCGCAGCGGGTCGACGTGATGGGCTTCCTGGACTCCCCGCTCTGGGTGGACGTGCCCCCGTACTCTGCCCACTTCGTTGGCTTCGCGGCCATGTGCCAGGGGGTCTTCTCTTATGCGAACGTGACTCGCTTGGGCCGGCGGTGCGAGGCGGCACATCCGGGGAGCGACCGCTGGAAGTGCATCATGGGGGAGTACCGGATGCCGCACATCAGGACACCGTACTTGCTGGTCGCCTCCCAGTACGACGCGTTCCAGCTGAGCGAGAACTCGATCTCCCTTCCCAAGGATGCGAACGAGACGGCCTACGCTGACTCCCTCGCGAACCGCACGCGGGACCTGATGAGCACGCTGCGTGCCGGCTGGCAGCCCGGCGGCCTACAGAACGCCGTCTTCTCTCGGGGGGTGCTAAAGGTGCCCCTCGCCCAAGGTGCCCCCAGCCTTTCGCTCAATCGGGGGGCCCTCGGGGCCGCGTGAGGGGTGCTCCGGAGGCCGTGGGAGCCTCGGGAATCCTGGGGGCACCTTGGTTGGGCCAGGGCACTTCTAGCAGCACCCGATTCTCCTGGACCTGCCACGACCACGCCTCCAGCTGCTCGTCGCGGGGCTTCGACCGGCGAACGTGCGGGCCCGACCGGGTCACCCTCGACGCTGCCACGCTGCAGTTCCTCGGTCTGGAGCCCCTGACGGGCTACCCCAGGACTCGAGTAGGGGATCGACTACAGAATTGATTCACCCCAGGATTGGTTGTTCATCGACTCTACAAGAAAATGCGCAGTAGGTTTCGCAAATCTACGAGCATTCAATGTATTTTTGTTGTATATTCGACGAAGCAAATCAAGTATGGGGCAAAGGAATCCTGTAGTCGACCCCCTACCCGAAGGACACTGGAGTGGATCGACAGCTGCTCGGGCATCAACTGCGGCGACGGGTGCGGAATCGGCCTCGAGCGGCATCAACGACTGCGGCCTCGACCTCCTGCGAGCAGGGCAGGACAGGCCCTGCTCGCGGACCCCGCAGGGCCCGGAGCATCCAGCTAGAGGCTAGAGCCGTCTTTCGGAGGACGCGTACTGGGGGGGGCAGTGAGTGGGGGGTGGGGGGGGGGGCAGTGAGGGCTGCTGAAAAAGCGGGCCCTCGATGGCCCAAGAGGTGCCCTTCAGGGGCCAAGAGGGGGCCCTGAGGGCCCGAGAAGGGCACCTTTCCCCCCCCCTCCCCCCCATTTAGCGCCCCCATGACTTCGCACCCAAGTCTCCGGGCGTCGAGCGATGGGGGTGCGATCCATGTGTGGGGGTGAAGAAAGGTGCACCTGTCGTGGCCTGAAGGGGGCCCTCTGAGGCCCAAAAGGGGCACGAAAGGTGCACGTCTCTCCCCCCCCTGGCCCACTTATCGCCCTCTCCCCTGTGTTCCTCAATCGACGCCCGAGAGTTGCCTCTGCGATCGCGGCCCGATCGCAGTCCGAGCCCGCAGTCGTCAGAGCGGTGAAGCTCAACCCCCCTCCTGCTCCTGCGTTCCTCGGTCCTGCGCCTGCGCCTCGGCGGCGCGGCTGGTGGGGGGGGGGAGTGAAGAGGAGCTTGGGCGTCGCGTGGTGGGGGGACGATAGACGGAGGGGCAGCGAGGGCTGCAGAGAAGGGGCCCTTTCGGGCCCCGAGTGGGCCCTAAAGGGCCCAAGAGGGGGCCATGAGGGCCCGAGGAGTGCACCTCTCTTCCCCCTCCCTCCTCCCTCCTCCTCCTCCTCCTCCTCCTCCTCCTCCTCCTCCTCCTCCTCCCTCCCTCCTCCTCCTCCTCCTCCTCCCTCCTCCTCCTCCTCCTCCTCCTCCTCCTCCTCCTCCTCTCTCCCTCGGTTCTCGGCGGAGTCATTGGAGCCTCGGGTCCTCCTCCTCCTCTTCCTCCTCCTCCTCCTCCTCCTCCTCCTCCTTTTCCTCCTCCTCCTCCTCCTCCTCCTCCTCATCGCCCCATCCATCAGGCGACGCCCAAGGAGCAGGCTCTCTCCGAAAGCGGCGGGGCTTCTCGGAAGCCCTGGCGCCTTCTGAGAGGTCTGCCGTGCCTTCGGGGGAGGACTTCCGAGCCTTCTGAGAAGGCCCGCCCCTTCCCGCTTCACCCCCAGGCTCGCCACCGATCCCTTCCGCCCTTCGAAGGTCCGAGGGGACTTCTTGGATCCAGCGCCAGGTGGCTCCAGCGGCGACCCAAGAAATCTGCGCGGAGCTCAGAAATATTATGTTTGCGTAGTTCGTGTTTCCCTATCATCCTTCCTCCTCCATCCTCTTCTTCCTTCCTCCTTCTTCCTTCCTCCTTCCTCCTCGTCCTCCCCCTCTTCTTGCTGCGAGTCGATTCCCTGGCGGAGCGAGCAGAGCAGGCCCTCGGTCGTGGAGGTCGCCGTCTCGGGTCCTGCAGCGCGCCTGGGCTCCGAGCTGACTGCTCCCTATCCGAGATCGTCCCGTCGCAGATTTCAGCGCACAGCCGAGCCGCCCCCCGGAGTGTCGGGGGGCTTCTTGGGGCTGGAGGCTGGAGGAGAAGAAGAAGAAGGGGGGACCTCTCGGGGAGCTCCGTGGCCACTCGGTGCCGCCTCCGAGCGGGCTCCTCGAGCGCGCAGCCGAGGCGCTCTCACGGAGTACGGGCCAACCCGCAGAGGAAGGACGGGCCACCTTCCCCCATGGGGTACCCATTCTTCATTTCTAACTCATCGGAAGTTCTTTGAGTTTTTGGGGGGCCAAGATCCGTTCATTTCTAATTGTTCTATCCTGGGCCTCTTCCTGGCAACTAGGGGACCGGGAGCAATTGGTAACGGGCACAATTAGAAATGAGCGCGATTAGAAATGAACGACGTGTACCCTTGGCATCCCTTCGGCCACTTTCGCTGGCTGCGCGCCGCTCGAAAAGCCTCGCAGTGGCCCTCCAAGACCCTTGCAGCCTTCTCGTGCGTCCTGCTGACAGGGGTGGACGGTATCCTGGCGCCGCCATTCTTCACGACGGGCCAGTTGGCCTCGTCTCCGGGCCCCTGTGGCCCTCACACGGGCCGGGCCCCGTGGCCATCGCTCGCACGGGTCGGCCCGGCTCGAAAAGGTGCAGCAGCAAGACGGGTGGCGGGGTTCCGGTCCAGCTGTGCCGCGACGTCGCAGGTCTTGTTCTGCGACGTCGGATCTCAGGGCGGCACGGAGGTGCCCAGGTGCCCCCAGAGGCCTCAGGAGGCTCGACGAGGGCCAGGAATGTCCAGAGGCCTCGAATCCTCCATCCTCCGTCCGCAATCCTCCCCCTCCTCCCCCCCCTCCTTCTGATTCCTTCTGCCTCACTCCGCCTCCTCCCCCCCCTCCTTCTGATTCCTTCTGATTCCTTCTGCCTTCCCCCCCCTCCCTCCATTCTCCACGCCGCGCTTCGCTGCCACTGCCAGGGTCGGCAGGACCAGGGCTGTCGGCCACGGGGGCGGCTGCTCTGCCGTCGCGCTGCCGGACAAACACAGGCGTCGGTCACAGCACGCAGTTCGAGGAGGACGGGGATCACCACTCACGAAGCCACCCCGACCCGACCCGAAGGCCCCAATTCGCCCTCCATTCAAAGGGGGCGGGGCGTCGGGGAAGACTTCTACGACAGAGCACTTGTGGAACCCGTGCGTGGAAACTGGGGTCCTCGGGTTGGGTCGAGGCAGTCTGGCAGCAGGTCGCCCGAGGAGGAGAATGCGAGGACCCACGGGCGACGTGAGCAGATCACGATGGGCGCCCTTCCCTGCGATCCCGGGGCGCGGGGGCCGTCCTGGGGCCCTGGGGGCCGCGGACGAAAATCTCCTGGGACGGAGCCGGCGCCCCAGAGAAGGTCCTGGCATTTTGGCGGCGATCGCCTGCCAGTCTGGTCCTGGCAGCTCGGCCTGCGTGTCCGAGTTCTGGGCCGTGCGCGGGAGCGCGTGCTCGACGTGTGCTCTACGGCACTTGCACGTGACATCTTGTTGCACGTGCGCGAGAAGGGGTGGAGAGCCATAGGGCCGTCGCCTTGGAAGAGATCACGACGTTGGAGGGTTTGGGAATGTCCAGAGCTCCCCTGCGCTACTTGCTCGTTCGCGGGACGACGACGGCGACGACGACGAGGAAGTCGAGGACGAGGAAGTCGAGGACGAGGAAGTCGAGGACGAGGACGTCGAGGACGAGGACGAGGACGACAGTGACGACGACGTGTTTTTTTTTAGGGGGGGGGGGTAGTTTGGCCTTTCCGGAACTGTCGGCGGGCCTCTGGGACCGTTTGAGACAGTGCTCTTCCCCCTCCTCCCCCTCCTCTTCCTCCTCCTCCTCCTCCTCCTCCCCCGCCTCCTCCTCCTCCTCCTCCTCCTCCTCCTCCTCCGTAGCCATTTTGGCTCAAGCGCCAGCTCGGTCCGAGGCCCTCAGGGGCCGCGCCGCGCCAGCCTTCCCTTTCTTTCCTCTTCGCCCTTCCTCGCCTCGCCGCGCGATGGAGGGGCCGTCGCGGGATGGGCGGGCGGGACGCCGCCGCCCCAATCGCACCGCCGCCCAGCGCCGCGCCCAGGCCTGGCGGGCGCAGGGGCGGGCGGTGCAGCACCTGCTCACTGCCTTTGATGCGATCTTGGAACATCGTGTTCAGGCGCCCTCTCGCCTGGGCCGCGTCCTCCAGGTCGCCCTGCGCGAAGGCGCTGATGGTGCTCGTTGTCGTGGGCGCGATGGTGGCACTGCACTTCCGCGAGACGCGCATCCTCCACGAGAGGTTCATCCTCCGCGCGAGGATGCAGCTCCACGAGATGCGGGTCTTCAGGTTGGTGTGCATGCTGATCGAGGTGGACTGCATGAGCAAGACGCTGGGGCGCGTCAGCTGCACGCAGACCATATTCAACTACCAGTCGCGGCACTTCCACCAGTCGTGCTTCCTCGACGTCCCGCTGGTCTTCCACGAGCTGCGGAGGTACCACCAGGAGCGGATCCTCCACCAGTTGCGGATCCTCCACCAGAAGCGGGTCATCAAAGAGCACGTGTCCTTCTGAGGGTGCGCGTGTTGCAGGTGGATCGAATGTCGAATGTGCGTGGTGCTGGGGCGGGCCTACCACTTCATCATCCTCCACCAGAAGTGGATCTCCATGATCAACGAGCTTCCGCTCAAGCCACCCCCTCTTCTCCTACAAGTAAAGAAGAGTATGAAGGACAACGCGGACCGACGATCCATGAGCGTCGTGTCCGTGATCGGGGAGCGAGAGCAGGTGCGTGCGTCCATGATGCACCCACCGAGACGGGCCCAAAGGCGTTCACACACGGTGCGCCCCTCCGTGCCACGGTGACTGAAAAGGATCATGCTGGTAAGTGCTCTGTGAAGGACAGGGGCGGCGACGTCTTTCTTCGAGATGCTGCCCAAGGCTCCCAAGTAAAATCGCCCGACGTCTCTCATGCTCTGCATGCACCTAGCGGGTCTTCGGGTGCTGAGCGCGCCGTTCGTGATGGACTGCGCTTCTGTGTCAACGGTCCCCGTTCACCACGTCTAGGTGCCTATCATCAACGAGCTGCCGCTTATTCCACTGCCCTTCGAGCTTCTGTGCGTACTCCTCGGCGCCCGCGGCGAGAGAAAGGGGCGCCTGAGCCTGAAGAGGTAGGGAGTCTCGAACGATCCACGCTCCATGAGCGTCGGGTCCCCGTCTCTGAATCCAGTCACACGGTGCCGCCCTCCTCCCCAGTGGCCTTTAGCCGTGCTGCTGGGACCAAGTGTGATGATGCTGTATCTTCTCACGAGGTCCCCTGCGATGGTTCAAACATGGATGCGTCCTTCTCTGCGGGCTCCCCACCACTGCGTGTTGACGAGAGCTTGACCGAAGGAGCGTGCGCCCATGGCGCAACCGCCGCAAACATCCCAGAGACGAGGTACGAGTCGAAGGTCACCGGTTTGTTCTCTGGCGTATTCGGGCCCACGGTTGGCGTGAGGACTGAAAGGGCGTGCGTCCATGATGCAACCGCCGAGGTGGAACCCGTTTCGAATGCCATACCGATCGACCTCCAGGGCGTGTTCACTCCGAGGGCCACGCCTGAGCCGGCGGTCTTGCCGATCAGGCCTGCCGCGCGGCCGCCTGCCTG